CGCCTGGCGGCCCTCGGATGGCGGCGGCCTCTCCCTGCAGCGCCGCTGCCAGAGCCGGGTCCTGCCCCGGGGCGGGGTGAAGGGCCCCGCTCCCACCCGCCTCAGGCGGGAGCCGGCCCGCTCCCTGCCAGCGTCTTGTAGCCTTCGGGCTTTATCGCTCCTGCTTCAGTCCGCTCCAGAGCCCCGCTTCCCACGTGCTTTTAATGGATTTTTAACCGTGAAAAATACCAACAAAAGGAAAAGAGATAAAAGGATTCTGACAAAGACTCCTGTAACCTAGCTCAGAGCCTGCTCTAGAATGAAGGGTAACAAAGTAGGCAACCACCTCAGAAACAGAACAGTAAAAGACAAACAGAGAGCTCGGAAGCTTATTTTATTACACTGGAGTTTCCTGTGGATCAAGACAGTTAAACAAGTTGTTTGAACACTCCTCTACTCCCCCGTCGAGTCTGGTATCATCTTGCCCTGTACTACTGAGCAGTCTTTGGACTGATACTAGAAACTTCAATATAGAGTCCTTTTCCTAATGGTAAAATTGTTCTTTTTTAATATAAAAAAGATGGTTGAACATTTTAGGATTATTTTTTTTTTAAATGAAATGACCTAATAATTAAAAAAAAAAAAAAAAGGAATTTCGTGGTTGGTGAAATGCTCATTATAATTTAAGAGCAGCCATTCAGATGTGCTGTAGTAGATTTTGTTTTCCACAAAATATATACAAAATACCACCTTAAGATGCCTCTGGCATTCAAAATGTTAACTGAAATACAGAATCTAACATTCAAAACTACTGTAGGTAGCTCTTCTACAACAATTTTTACAGAGGCTGTAAAGCTAACTGTTCTGACTATATGCATCATATACAATATGCTGTCTCATATACCATTTCCACAACCGTACACAAAAATATTTTAAACAAGAAATCCACATAAATAATGTTTTCATTGTAGTGAAGTATGTGACCATTGATTTAAAATAAGTACCTTTACAACAGAAACGTATCCTGATGTAACCAGCACATACAGTCTGAAAGATAAAAAGGGACTCAAATAATCTCTGATAAAGCTACAAGCACCTTGCGTTATGACGAGCACCAAGGCAACACGGACAGGAAACACAGAAGAGGTAGTGTGCCATCTGTTCAGATGTATGTGTCCACAAAGGACTATGCTTATGTTTAAGAAAAGACGTATTGTACTGTGGCGTAATTCACTTTTCATATATAAGCTATTGCACGTTTAGGAGCATTAGCCAGTATTGCCCCTTAGTATTGTATGTTTCCAGCTTTCCTCGGGATGGTTTTTTTGCAGCGCTGTTCAAAGAGATTGCTAAGAACACTAGAGGTCCTGAAAAATTTCATTTTTGGATATTCCGTTCCAGGAAATTAAGCAAGAAAGCACCAACCAATTTTTAAAAAATACTTTATGTAAATCGCTGAAGTCTTTTTTCCTTTTAATTTTCAATGCCATTTCTCCTTAGGAGGAAGACTTTTTCTTCCTGAGGTTCTTTAACCAACACTGTTCAAAACGATTCTTCAGTTTCCCAGTAATTTTGTGTGCAATGGATCATTACTTTTGTATTCAATCTATGCATTAATTCCATGTTGATACTAAAAAACCCAGGAAAAAAACCTTAAAGGAAGCACACTGAACCACTTTCTACGAAGTGCTGCTGTCCTGGTTTGAGATGAGGAAGTGCATTAACTTGAACAACTGGAAGCTGATCAGTGTCCTGAGTGTGAAAAAAGAACTGTGTCTTATGCCAGCTGCCGTCTTCAATCTGCAACACACAGAAGCAGAATATTAGATTCATATCAAAGATGAGCTTCAAAACACAAATGGAAAATTGTGCTTAAGAGCGAGAGGAGGAGAAGTGTACAAAAACATTTATCCTCCCAGCAGTTCCTAAAAACCCTGTGTAATTTAACAAATGCCACTTCTCCAATGCAATACCACAGGCACTCCTGGCAAAACTGTAACTAAAAAAGCCCAGCCCGGAATCCAGCTGGAGGGGATGTAGGCACAGTGCAACAGGGCTCAGAGCAGAGTGCCTGTCACTTTGCAAGCAGTCCTGGGCTCATACAGGCTCTTGCATCTCTTGCTAAATTCAGCTCCAAATCTGAACAGTAGGTCTCAGGTTATGAGCTTTACAGGTATTTGAATGACTTTACAGGCCCATGAAGATCAATCATAGGGAACGAGAGCTGCATTTTTGCCATGAACTTCGTATTGATTATTCTAATCCTTTAAAAATCTCAGTAAAAAATTGATACTTCATAAAAATTATAAAATAACATTGTAACATTGTCTGAGGCTGGGAGTGTCTTGATGTTTGCAATCACTCCATTCTTAAAAACCATCAAGTACAGTGTGCACCACTGAAAAGTGAAATCCCTGCAGAGAGGGAAATGTGTGAGATTCTACAATATATAGTTTCCAACAGAAAGAGCTACAAACCTCGTAGGATCTCACAGAAAAATGGCACTTCTCAATAGCCATCACTGTATGCCTTAATTTTTCTCAGTGATTAAAACAGTCCAAACAGACTGGGAGGTGGGGAAAAGAGGTTTCAATGGCCATAGCTTAGCTGCATGACATAGGCTAGAACATCTCATTGACATGTGCTAATAAAGGTTGGAAGCATAACAGCTTAGAAGTGCCTCAATAAAACCACTTTCTGTCTTGAGATTAAAAATCTCATTTGACATCCCTGTATCAATATGGAACCAGTCTCATGTATTTTGTTACTGTAAATGAAAGTAGAGCTATAAAATACTGAAAGTGTAGAGTGCTTAGCTGCTGTATTTTGTAGTGTTCTACCAAGACATCTACCAAATGGCTCACATCTTGGTCAGTGCAGCAATCTAATAAGCCTTATAAAATTAATAAGCTCTCCTAATTTTGCCTAAACTCAAATACAATATTGTAATATTTTAGTTAGCCAAGGAATCAATTTCCAATCATAATTATTTTATTAAATAAACAAACAATTGAGTCATAATCAATGAGTTTAAAGATACTTAGTTGTCCAAAAAATAATCTCCAGCCTGTTTGAACCTGAGATTTTGTGTTAAATAACCTCAATAGAATTCTTACTGAAGCCCGAATTTTCATTTTGAGAGTAACTGTTCCTAAAGTTTGCTGGAAAACCTCCTTATTTTTGTTCTGATCTCTCTCCATTTTCTTAGCAGAGTCCTGAAATACATGTCATGCAATGTGAACAGAAAATATAGATATCTTGTATTACTACAATTGCTTTTACTTTTGGGTAGACGTTGAATTCAATATTAAAAGGTTGGCATATAAAGACATATGCAGAGCAACATAAGGAGTAAGCTTCAAAGGATGTGAATCTAAATGATCGTTATTACTTGCAGAAAGTTAAAAATGTCTAAACAGTAACTTCATTACAGTTTTAATAATGGTAGTACTAAAAAGTATTTACCATGCATTCATCCATAAGCACCTTCGGTTCAAGTAGCGTATTTGCTTTAAATATTTGTCCATTCCATCCTTTGAAGCTAACAGATGTTTTCTGTCCACCTGCTTTATTTAAACCCCACGTTGGTGTGTTCAGACAATGAACTGTGATGCTATGGGTTGCTTCTGAGCTCAGTAAATGAAGGAAGTTCATCTGCACTTTTCCAACGCCGAACTCCAGCTAAGTTTGAAGAGAAAGGTATCATTAGACTTACAGTTGGACTGTGCTGAACGGCCACAGCAACGCAAAGTGTCATGCACACACACGTGTAGTGTTCAGGCACGGGAGCACATATACATGTTTATACATGGGGGTCAATGCTGAAGAACACGATCTGTATTTTTCAGGAGCGCTGTTAGGTTCTATTACAGTGATTACTATAAACAGAAGCTTTCATAGGACATTTTCAAAGCTTAAATATAAACATTTCTAATGCTTACAACATTGTTACAACACAGCTGGGCACAGAACACTACTTTTAAATAAAGAAACTGAAACAAATTTTATGATTCCAACAAATATATTATCAGCAGCAGTGTTTTAACTGCAGTCACATCATTCTGTGGTTGTCTTCTTGGACCACAGGTTCTGGCAATACCTACATCTCATTAAAAATAAAAAAAATTGTAAGCATACTTTGATTTTAGACAGAAAATACAGTTACTCATTACTCAACAAGATCTCCAATACTAGATCATATTCAGGGATCTTCCAAATGTAGGAATGCATATGGGAACTTTATGGTATTTCTGTTACTCTTCAGTAACTACAGTGTATATGCAAACTCAACAAGTATAAAATTTCTATTCCCAAGGGTTTAAGTACTACATGTAAAGAGGAGCATGGACTAATATAAAGGAAACCAGTCTCTGCTAATGGCATTTAAAAGTAGCTAAGTGTTGAAAAGCAGCCATAATTTTCTTCCTTCCTCAGCATCTCTACAGTTTGCTGCCCTGAGCGGTGAGTTACTAATGTAGCTTAGAAGCATTTCAGGCTTATTTTTAAGCCTTGTATAGAGAAGTATGAAGTAAAACAAAATAATTTGATCAGCACAGAAGGTGAGTAAATGAACCAAGTGGGAGTTACACTAACATATATTGTCTCCAGAAAATCTGTAACTTCTGTAACAGGGTGTGTAACATATCCTTCCACAAAGATGCACATTTGCAAAGATGCAAAAAACCCCTGAAATCTAACACCTTTTCATGAGTTCAGTAAATAAGCATTCATTTGTTCAGAGTTCCAGAACAGATACAATCTCTCTGGAAGCAATGCCTACCTTTGTCACAGACAGTGGTGTTAAACATGTCTGACCACCTGCAGTGAAGTTGCAGAAAACTTCAATTGCATCAGAAGAACATCCAATATTTGGGTCAATCCAGTATTTTCCTATTAGTATATCATCCCAGATGAAAAATAAAATAAAAATATAATTGTTACTAAACAATTTGTTAAAATATTTGTACTTTTTGGCAAGTATTAGATATACTATCACCATGGCTTCACTAGGAAATGAAAGAAAAGGAACATGAAAGTCTTCTCACTATTGTAATTCTACTCATAATAGATATTGAGCAAAATTATCCTAACCATTCAGTTCTGATAACATATACAATGAATACTATCACAGTTTCAAAAATATTTTCTCTTCTACAGCTAAATAGTGAGAACAAACAGTATTTCCAGTCTGCTCTTTCTATATTAAAAATTAACTTTTTTCTTTGGGCTTAGCTTTATACAGATAATATATTCAGGAATGTAAAGTAGCAATCTAAATTGTCTTGCTCTCACAGCATCTTGAAGATCCTTTCTTTCTCCACTATCTTCCTCCCATCAGGCACGTCTACATGACATATCATAGTGATGGTAATAAAGAGTATTTGCCATTGTGAATCCATGAGATTTTGTCCAATAAAAGAAATAGGATATATGCAAGTTATATCTTAATACATGGTTAAATATGAGTGAGCTGTGCTCTACAATTTATATGGGTATGTGTAATCCTCTGAAGTGGAGGACTGTGTCAGTGACCTTTGTGGCCCGAAGGGACTGAGATTTATTTAGGAGAGCACCGTTATAATAAGGGTTAGGCTCATGTCTACTGGAGTCTTAGAATTGATCCGTCCTTATATATACCATAGAATAGCAATTTCCCTGTAAATTCTAACTTCATTTCCCATATACTCCTTAGCTTGTTAATGCTAATACTTAATAATAGGGATATTTACAGGTATTTATTATTTTATTAGCCACACAGAAGCCCATGTAACAGTGTTGATATTACAGGTTTAAAAAATTGTTTTAGATTTGAAATATTGATTCAGGATCTTCTGGGATACAACAACTGTCGGTGTATCTGGCAGTGGTAGTGTATTCTATACAATTTTCTCATTAAGAATCTGGAGTCTGATACACACAAAATTAATTGCAGATTACCTATAAATACTTGGGAAACTTTTAATCACAAAATTGGATTCAGTTTCAAAATTTCTGGATGCTTCTTTACTTCTATGTATATAATCTGTCTCTAATACCTATATAAAATATTAGCTAGCTATGTACTTTCATCTTTAAAATTCAGAAATGTTATTGTAAATAAAGATAAAACAAAGATAGCTGTGAGAGGCACACTGCAACAGAATATAATAAGAAAATCTACATATTAGAATTCTGATGTAGAAAGTAACATCTGGAAGCAACACATTTCAAAGCCTAGTTGTGTTCAAGCTTTACTGGAAGTGGACACTTACCATCTGCCACTTTACGTTCACAGTTAAGCAAATCCCTGCAGATGCGTGCTGGGTTATCCCGTGTGCCAAGGGGGTTCTTGATGCTGTGCAGTAAATTGCTAAGGTAGTGCAGCGTTTTGAATATCTCTGTACTGTGATCTAGTAAAGTTACTTCAGTATTCTGGTATTTCTGCCAAGGGCCATTAGTAAATGCGTTACAACAAAGAAGTATCACAAACAACAGTATATGCAGTAAAAGTCAAATGGCCATTGAATAGCCAGACAGAAGCAAAGTATTTATAATGCATGCAATCAGCCATATAAACCAGGGTAAGATTTACATATTCCAATAAACAAATTAGTAAATTTTATTAAAATTATCAGAGCAGTGAAGTTACGGTCAGGTTAAGATCATGCAAATACGTCATTATGACATGTTGACATAAAAATGTGGATACAGGAAAAAAAAGAAGAGAAGAAAAAAAAAATCAGTGCATTTTTAAAGTATAATTAGGAGTTTCAGATTTTGAACAGTGAAATCTACACTTAGGCTTAACTTAGAAAATATATGCAGATGTATTTGACTCCACTCATGTAAGGAATTTTCTTGCAATCAGTGGGCCACACACTTGCGTATATGTCAGTATTTTTTGGATCAAGGCCTAAATGCCACATTATCTGTGGCTGAACAGATACAGTCCACTATGTGTGATAGTCAACAAATTTCCATTACTGCCAATCATGACAAAAAACTAGAAATGCTGCTGTTTTTCTTAACTTCATTTACATTGTATCCTATAAATGCTAGCATGTTTAATTATATTCTACAGTTATTCCTTGCTATACATGATTCATTTTAAATTAAGTCTTGTAAAGAAGCCCTGTTCTGTCCTCAAACAATAGAATTATAATTGCATAGCCTATATGATAATGTGAATACATTGAAATATATTACCTCCATCTGCAGTGCAGCATTTGACTCAATCAAAGCTTGAACAGCAGCATTGATGTCCACTTGTTTCTGAAAAAATAAATGATATATTTTCAGAATATAAAAAGATGAATAGGAATATTCTAAAATGCGGGTGGTAAATTCTTTGAGTGCTACAGCAACACACACAATAGCTTTATTATTTTATCATTTTAGAAAATAATTCATTGTAAATACTTACTTTAAAGTAGGATCCTCCTTCCATTTCCAAAGAATGCAAGCATGCATACAGAAAAAGCAATTTGATTTTTATCAGTACCCCATACCCAATTTAATGATCACACTCCTGGAACCCGTAAAAAGATACTATAATTGTTGTTACAGACTAATTTGTCAACTTATTCCTCCCAGCCATTTAATTTATATACTTAAGAAAACCAACCCAGGCAAGTGTGAAAAGGTGCTACTCCTTTACAAAGCAGCACACAAAGAACATCTCAATCAGCCATCAGCAGCTGACAGATCAAAGTAGTCTTCATGATGCATCAACAAATACCAAGGCTGACAAACTACCCTCCAAAAGATGAAGCCCGTTTCTTTTGTATCTTCATTTTCAGTGCTTTGTGTGACATATATACCAGACCCAGACAACAGGTTTGTTTAATTTTTAAAGAATTTAAGTCATCCACACAAACATCCAGTTCTTGCAATTTGTTCTCAGATGGCACATGTCATTACAGCTTTAGGACACTTGATATACTGAGTCTGTCCTAACTAGCACAATCCCTAACAAACTAAATCTGTGTTTGGGTGTGTGTGTGTATATAGGGAGAAGATCTGAGCCAGAAATAGCACAAATTTTTCTGTTGCTATCTTTCAGAGTGTTGAAATGCAGAACAGGAGAAAAACCTTTTAGAGTGTGATGGAGTTAACCCACGTCAAAAGTATGAGCATGTCCATGAGTGTTGCCTGTTGAGGGCTCAACAGCATGGCAGAACAGAACTGACAGTGTAAGACAGAAGGTTCAAAATACATATTACTGCAGTGATGGAAGTTGTAGGAAAATTATTTGCATTTCATGTGCAGTGATGGAACAATCAATGCATTTGAAGAGGAGCTTGCTATTTTCACTTTCAAAAAAGGAATGTGTTGTAGGTTAGGGTTGTTACAGAACTTACTCTTGGTCCTGGTGGTCCAGGTGGTCCCTGGAAAATGGGAGAAAACAGATATTAGGTGCTTCACATGTTTCTATAATACAACGACAACAGAAAAATACAGGCATAGTTTTTTATGTACTTACAGGTGGCCCTGGCTGGCCCTGAGGTCCCTGAGGCCCCTAGGAGGAATGGAGATAAAATGCAACAGTTAGAGATGAACATCTGTTGGGGAATAAGAGGCTGGAGAGCAGCCCTGCAGAGAGAGACCTGGGCATCCTAGTCAATGGCAAGTTGAACGTGAGCCCACAGTGTGCCCTGGCAGCCAAGAGGGCCAACCGTGTCCAGGGGTGCAACCAGCACGGCATTGCCAGCCAGTCGAGGGAGGTGATTGTCCTGCTCTGCACTGGTGTGGCCTCACCTTGAGCACTGGGTGCAGTTTTGGATGCCACAGTGTAAAAAGGACACAAAGCTACTGGAGAGTGTCCAGAGGAGGCCACTAAAATACTGAAGGGTTTAGAGGGGAAGTGGTATGAGGAGAGGCTGAAGTCACTTGGTTTGTTCATCCTGGAGAAAAGGAGACTGAGAGGAGATCACATTGCGGTCTGTAACTTCCTCACAAGGGGAAGAGGAGGGACAGGTGCTGATCTCTTCTCTCTGGAGACCAGTGATAGGACCAGGGGGAAATTGCAGGAAGATGTGCCAGAGCAAGTTTAGGTTGGTCAGTAGGAAAAGGTTCTTCATGCAGAGAGTGGTGGAGCACTGGAACAGGCTCCCCAGGGAGGTGGTCATGGCACCAAGCCTGACAATATTCAAGAAGCATTTGGGCAAGGCCCTCAGAAATGTGGTCTGAATCTTGGGATTGTCCTGTGCAGGGACAGGAGTTGGACTCCATGATCCTTGTGGGTCCCTTCCAACTCACAACATTCTATGATTCTGTGATCTCTGCTTTTATATTTGTGTGTTTTTTAAATCACAAAATGCCACACTGCGTACAATGAAGGTGTGATACCCGTTTTGGTAAAGCTGTAGATTATTAGTTACTATTGTTAAAGCACCACACTTTGTTAGCATGTGAGTATTCCTGTTGGAATTGCCAGGTTTATCCAATTACTTTTTATATTAAGGGAACATTAGAAGTCATACAAAGTATTAATATATAATGTATTATATATTATGCCAGCCTCATATGCATGCTGGCAATACAAGTACTACAAGGGATAAATTATCATAAAAGCATTATAAATAATGTTATGTGTAGTTTTAAAAATCTAACTGATCTGCTTTACTCCATGAGTATCTGCTAGGTATTTATTAGCTCCATTTATTAGCAGCGTCAGTTTTCAGCTCGAAATGTTATGTTCATTGTTGAACAGTGACATTGCAGGCTTCCTTCATATTCAAGGAGTTATGCCCTTATTTCCTCATCAAAAGTGGCATCATTTTAGTGTGTAGGATGATGCAGTGGGGAGGAGAGGAGAAGAAGAAAGAGCTACTTTTTCCTTGCTTATAGTGCCTAGAACACATGCAGTCTTAAATCTAAGTTTTAGACTTGCCTCGGGGTTGGACACGGACCCTCCCAGAAACAGTAACTCCATCTGAATTATCCTTTTTTTGAGCAACTATTTGCACTAAGATGGAATGATTATGAATATTTATTAATATGCAGTTATACTTGTGTTTCTGTTAGGTTCCCTTCTTCAGTCTCTATACTCTCAAAGCCTCTAGGAGCTGCTGTAACATAAACAATAGCAAGAACACTGACAAGGAAAAGAATAGGTGACAGTGCCTTAATAGGAGCAAAAGAGAAGGATGAAAGGCATAGGCCAGACCTGCACGGTGTATTAGTGAAACCTTTTAATGTAACTAAGTTAATTTAAGCAAAACACTCTTTAGCCAGTGCTGCTTGTATCAATTACTCAAGCACAATAAGCTGTTTCAGCAAAAGCCCTCTTACACCAGTATGGTCACACTAGTACTGAGTCTCTGCCAAAAGAGAAATAATCTTATCTGACGTGGTCACGTTGACAAATACTGCAAAACTGATCTAGTCAAAGACGTATTAAGTTGTGAATCACTGACACAGTAATAAGT